CGGGATCGAGAGAAGGGCCTCCCCAGAAGATCTCAAGGCCCTCGTGGGCTCATAGGCCGAGATGCGGTCCGAGATGCATGGGGCCCAAGCGTCAGCAAGAGGCCCCAGGTGGTGAAGAGGAGGGGAAGATGGAGGTAAGGAAGGTGAAGGGCAGCTCTTCTTCCCCCCTCACCCTCCTTACCTTCCTCCTCCTCCTCCTCTTCACTGCCTGGGCCTCGCATGGAGTCCAAGTGGCAGCAAGAGGTACCAGGGGGCGAGGAGGAGGAGGAAGAGGAAGGTAAGGAGTGCGAGGGGTGGCTCTTCTTTCCCCCTCACCCTCCTTAACTTCCTCATCCTCCATATCTTCACTGCCTGGGCCTCTTTCTGTGATGCTGCATTGGGCCCAAAGCAGCAGAAAGAGTCCCCAGGTGGTGAAGAGAAGAAGGAAAAAGAAGGTAAGGAGGGTGGCTCTTCTTCCCCCCTTGCCCCTTTTTACCTGTTGCAACACAGAGCAGGAAACTGGACCCTAAGACAACAATCCACCACACTTGACTTCAGGAAAAAACAATCCTTTTTATTGATGAAAGATGAGTACAAAAATAGAGGGAAAATGCAAGGTAAAAAGCCACAGTAAAAATCAGCAACAAGAAATGTCCATGAACAAAATCAAAAACCCACAGTAACACTGCTAAATCCTGGAACCTGTTAGCAATCCACTAACCGTACTTGAAGCACTAGAAAAACTCCTTGGAACAAAGCCACTGGAAGCAGGAGAACTGCAAGAGTCTGCACATGAATCTGAAACGATGCCTGGACTGAATGGGCATCCAGACCAAATGTTTTTAAAGCATAGAAATCTATTTTATGACGTGCTGAAGGCCGTGTTTGCATTTCTCTTAATCTAGCTGACCTCCATAAACTCTGCGCTTCGCCTCTGCTTTGCCAAATCTGCCCCGTCTATCCTCGTTAGAGGGACCAGGTGTCTGATTATCTGGAGCGCTAAAAGGGAGTGAAAGTTCACCACTTGGCTTTGAATCATTCTCATGGGAATTTGGACTTTCGCTTTCCAAAGCAGCAGGATTTTCACTACACAAACCGTCGAGGAGGCTGTCCAGGTCCTGAACCGGTGCTTGGCTGCTGTGATGGTCTGGATGAGGGTGAACAAATTGAAATTGAATCCAGACAAGACAGAGGTACTCCTGGTCAGTCGCATGGCCGAACAGGGCATAGGGTTACAGCCTGTGTTGGATCGGGTCGCACTCCCCCTGAAGACGCAGGTTCGCAGCTTGGGTGTGACCCTGGAGTCATCGCTGAGCCTGGAACCTCAGGTTTCGGCGGTGACCAGGGGAACATTTGCACAGCTAAAGCTTATGCGCCAGCTGCGCCCGTACCTTGGGAAGTCTGACTTGGCCACGGTAGTCCACGCTCTGGTTACATCCCGTTTAGACTACTGCAACGCTCTCTACGTGGGGTTGCCTTTGAAGACAGCTCGGAAGCTCCAACTAGTCCAACGCTCGGCAGCCATGATTTTAACAGGAGCGGAGCGCAGGGAGCATACAACCCCCTGTTGCGCCAACTCCACTGGCTACCGATCTGCTACCGGGCTCAATTCAAAGTGCTGGCGTTGGCCTTTAAAGCCCTAAACGGTTCCGGCCCAAGATACCTATCCGACCGCATCTCTGCCTATGAACCCACCAGGACTTTGAGATCTTCCGGGGAGGCCCTGCTCTCAATCCCGCCTGCTTCTCAAGCACGGCTGGCGGGGACGAGGGATAGGGCCTTCCCGGTGGTGGCTCCTCTGCTGTGGAACGCCCTTCCTACGAACATTAGACTAGCACCATCTCTAATGGTATTCCGCAAAAAAGTGAAGACCTGGCTGTTTGAGCAGGCGTTCCAATAATTAGTGCAATGATTGGTTAATGAACACTGGAATGGAACAATGGATGACGAATCTGGAACATGTTTTTGATGACGAGACGACAGTGAATGGGTATTGTAGTGACTGTTTATTAATTGTGTAATGTGTTAGGTTGTTAACTGTTTTTATACTTATCACTGAATTTTTGCTGTTCGTATTTGTTGTGAACTGCTGTGAGTCGCCTTCGGGCTGAGAACAGCGGTATATAAGTAAGGTAAATAAATAAATAAATCTTCTACATTGACCTCAGAATCACTGACATCTTCATTGACATCAGGCAATACAATCAGAGAGTCAGGTACAGGTTCACACACAGGCTGAACCCCAACATTACCTTCCTCATCCTCCTCATCTTAACTTCCTGGGCCTCTTGCTGGGGCCAAAGCGGCAGCAAGAGGTCCCAGGCAGCGAAGAGGAGGAGGAAGAGGAAGGTAAGGAGGGTTAGGAGGTGGCTCTTCTCTCCCTCCCCCCCCCCCCATCCTCCTTATCTTCCTTACCTGCTTCATCCTCATCCTCCTCTTGGGGCCCAGAAGCAGGCTGCATGTACATAAAATGATTTTAAAAACTCAGGGTGAGATAAAGGAGCAGAATTATTTGTGGGTGAGAACTCGTAGAGAGACAGAGACCTTCGTACCAGGTGGGAGGGTGAACTCCTAGGACAAAAAAAAAACATTGAGGAGAGCAATAGGTTAAGGATATGTAACTACTAGGCTTGGGCGATCAAGAAAAAAATGGTTCTAAACTCATTTCGTATATAGGGGGCACTGGCGATTCGATTTTAAAATGATTTCTGAAATTTTCTTGAAAAAAAGATCGGA